TGCTTCGTTTAGATGATAAATGGTTTGGTGATCACTACTTCAATCCTACAGTTTTTATTAATCTATTAAGGTGAGTTTCCACTCATCCGTTTTTTTACAGGAACGGGATAGGAAAGGAAAAAATAATCATGTGAGCATGCGCAGTTTTACTTTGAACAAATTAAAACTTATTATACGCATGCCCACGTGATTGTTTTTTCTTTTCCTTGTTCCTGCGAAAAAACGGATGAGTGGAAACTCACCTTTAGAAGCACGCAATGAGCATCCAAAAGCATTAAAATTGTTGAAGATATTTTGGTCCACAGAGCCAACACCGATTCCAACACAACGGCCAAATATATGAGCAGAACGTGCAGTAAAAGTAGGATTTAGTGTTTTTACGTCATAGCATAAAAAAACTTAACATTACTTATCGTCAAATAAAATGTAAAATTATTTTAATTACTCAAGTTTATTGTTTTTCTGTAAAGTACTGGAACATGTGTAGCATGTAAATCTTCTTTTAGTGGTGAACTTTTTTGAGATATTTATGAATCTGATACTAAATGGAAGGTCTAAAAAAATAAAAATAAATTTAAAATGTAAATATTTTTCTGCTGTTGCGCATTTTTATCTTTACAAACTGCGAAAGTTTAAATAAAGACACACAGTTTTTAATATCTCTTAAAATTTCTGCAATCTTTCATCGATCTTTCACATTTGGCTTGTGTTACAGAAATAGTAAATATTATTTTATAAATATGACACAAATTGTCATAGATTTTGTCGTTGAGTCTATATGCAGCAAGAATTCGTAACACGCAAGATGGACAAGATGAAACATGACTCAAAACTTTGGACTACCTGATCCATCACCGCATTGTAACTGTGAATTCTGTAGTGTTCCGAAGCTTTAGATTCGTCACGTTCGTTAAATGTATGTTCATCTAACATCATTGGTGTCTTCCGCTTCCGTTTAACTGTTTGTTCTATCTTTACCTCTAATATGGTTTAAGTTCTCTGGATAATGTTTGCGTTTTCCATCCGTAAAAATAGAAGAGTGTTATTATGAGCATCGTCAAAAAGTCTTGGTTGACTTTTCAATTCAATTGCGGCCTTCTCCACTACCTTGAATGCAACCAACACATTTAATCATTTGCAGGTATATTAAAAGTGGTCCCCCTTTTTCAAAAATTTGCAGGTAGGTAAAGGCAGTCAAAATAGTGTCGAATTTCAGCAATGGCATGAGCAATATCTTAGATTCATTCTTAGATTCGCTTATACATGACAGACATAAAATTAAATTACCAAACACTGTTGAAGATCGCTCAGTAAATGTTCCAAATAACGCCGTTGCAGCATTTGATTTACCCAATCACTTTGTTTCACCAATCAATATCAATCTTTTCATCTTATCCATTCCAACTTGTGTTTCAACAAGTTTAATCCATGTTGCCATTCGCTAATATGACGCTAATGCAGTTCCTGGTTGCCTCCTTCACAACTAAATTGAGAACATAAGCATAAAACCAAATATGTACATGGTGGTCTGCAGCTTCTGTAATCTTTTGTTGCAGTCCGTTTTACTGGTCATGATAACTTGAAGTACCATCAGTGTTGTCTGATAGGTAGTTTTGAAAATTAAAGCCGAGCTGCGGCAGCGTCAAATTTAAGAGATCGAACAAGCCTTGGCCAGTGCCTTCATTGCTTGGTACAATAAAAAGCAGCCGTTCATGCACAATAGCATCTAAAACATTGCAAACTACAATGCTGAATTGGTCAATTGCAGATATATGTTGTGTAGAATCAACCTGTACGGAGTACAGTTCCATTGCAATCTGTTCCTGCATCATATTTTTCATAATATTGAGAAGCTTTGATATAGTAGTCTTACTTAAAAACATAACTAGAGCACCGCGACCTTTACTGCCGGCTTTACCTTGACGCTTCTGTTTTTCTATTATTTTAGTTGATTTCTCTTGACACATGAAAAGATGAGAAGGTAAAAGTGGATCATATTTGGCCAAGAGCTGTACCAAAGCCAAAAAATTTTCATGATTTTCTTTATCATTGTCCAATGAATATGCACCTTCATTCCTATGACCTCGAAATGGCAATGCTTGCTTACATAAATGTTTAAAGATATCAATAACTCGAGAAAGTACTTGTTTCCACATCAGTACTTCATCATTATGTTTCTTTATTGCTATATGACAAAATCTGTCAAAGTTAGGATTATTCATTATACGAATGTAATCAAGAACTGCTTGATTCGTGTTCTGTAACCCGTTGGCTAACTCGTCTAAAAATGATGAAATGGTGTTAGACTGTTGTGATTCAAATGCAACACAAAATGAGCAATATAGAGATTGAGAATTTCGGCTAAATGACTACCTATTTCTCGGTATGCTATCCTACAAGTCCGTTTGTCTATGGTAGATCTTGTTATCAAACGGCAAATGTTCATGTGGTTGAATTGGATTTTTTCTAAAAAAATCATTTTTACTGCAAACGTGGTGGATATTCAAATGCTGATGTACTATGTGGGTTCGACTCAATATCTCCACCACCTCGAGCTTGTATTATTGCTGATGTACTCTGCAAACTCAGAGTACTAATTCCGGTATATTTTAGAATCTTAACTTTAGCTATTTATTTTAATAAATAACTAATTCCGGAATTGAAAAAAGCTTTTGTATTATCTCATATAACCCATGGAATTAGCAGTAGATAAGCATAAAATATTGAGGATGTAATAAATTTTTGATAATCTTGTTTCGTTCTGACGTAATTACAAAATATTGAATAATAAAAACTTATAACGGGGATGGTAAATTTTTTTAACAGTAAAACAATCAAAAAAAAATATTAACTATACAACCAAAAAATTAAAATAAACAACACCGTCGAACTTGTATGAATATCCTTAATCAAAAAAGTTCGCCAAAAATCATTAGTCTACCTGTAAAAGAGGTTATACCATTTTAAGAACATGCTCGTCTTACACAACCTTCTCCTATGCGTATTAGTGTATTACTGGTTATTAGTTGCGTTAGTAGAAAAACAAATACTTTTTTTTTTAATTTTTTTCAAAACACGGTGTTTTTTTTAATAAAAAAAATAAATTAGCAACAGTTCTTTAATATCCGGTTCCTCTTTCACTGCTTGAGTAGTATATTAATTCGTACGATACAAGAATGAATAAAAATAATAACGCGTCCGTATACAGTATTGTGCTCTGACAGCTGGTGGCTACATATAAGCTCTACGAAGACACTTTAAATAGAAAATTCTTAAGTTTAAAATACTATTTTAAAAGAATTTAAAACATCTTGAGCATTAATAATTATTAATCATTTGAGCGGTTAATCCTTTTCGAACTGCGTCTGTAATTTTTTTTCATTTTTTTTTTTCTCGTCTCTACTTCACTTTTTTTTAAAGCTGCTTTCTTATTTAACTTTTTTTAAATACAAAAATCTAAAACAAGTAATACATTTATTATATTAGCATTTAATATATTAGATTAATATTTACTATGCCATATGTTGGGCTACATTTACATGGTTGTTGTATTTCTTGTTTACATTTTATAATAATACAATACACGAAAGGCTGATATAACATTTACACGAAAGGCTGATATAAAATTTATGAGAAAACTCTTAAAGTTTAATTAAAAACATATTTTTAATCTCATAATGTTAAAACTTATATTTGATATCTTTCAAAATAAAAATTTCACTATTTATATCACTTTTTTTAAATTATATCTTTAATATTTGTTGAAAATCTTTACATTTTCTACACACCCTATAGTTTGTTTAATTTCTGGCATTGACTTCTATAAAAAAAAAAAAAAATTAAAGAGGGTTGTAATTATTAAGAAAACAACTTTTTGGAAATGTTTTTTCTTTAATAAGTCTTTTTTAGTATCAAAAAATTTATTTTTTAACGTAGCTTTTTTAGAAAATGTTATTATTCTATTGACAATATTTCAAACTTGATTTTCAAGTTTGAAATATTGTCAATAGAATAATAACATTTCAAAATCAAAAATAAAAATAAAATAAAATATATTTCCAAATAAGTTATAAACTTCAAGGAAATTTACAATGGTAGAAGTACTAATATAAAGTAAATACCTGAATATACAACGTAATGTTATAGTCAATGATGAAAATAGTAATAATAACTGGTATTAATAACACTAGCAATAATAATAATAATAGTTATAACAATATCATTACTTTAAAAATTATAATGAACCTATTCAAATTATTTATGTCATTGAATTTGATAAAAACAATTTAATAATATTATAATATATATATATATATATATATATATATATATATATATATATATATATATATATATATATATATATATATATATATATATATATATATATATATATATTAATATACATATATAATAATATATATGTATATTAATATATATATATATATATATATATATATATATATATATATATATATATATATATATATATATATATATATATATATTAATATACATATATAATAATAATAAGAAATTAATATACATATATATATATATATATATATATATATATATATATATATATATATATATATATATATATATATATATATATATATATATATATGTATATATATATATATATATATATACATATATTAATTTCTTTTAATGGTCATAATAGAGGTACAGTTAGTAACCTCCAGTACCCACCTTTTGTAGAAACTTCAGTTCAAAGTAGCCATATGTTAAAAGTAGTAAGTAGTCATCGGTAATTAGTATTAGTAAGCATAGTGGATGTAATTATTTATAGTTTTTTTTTTTATTATTTTTTTTTTCTTCTCAAAATATGGAAATTGAGCGAAATTAATCATTATAAAAGACATTATAAAGGAAAAAAAATTGTAAGCAGTAAACAAAACTCAAAATAAATAAATAAATCGAAATAAACAAAAGTTAGTTAGTTTTAGAACCTAATAAATCTAGTTAGTTGGAGGGCCGTCTTTAGATATTAAACTTCACATAGGCTTCTAACAACAATGTGCAACACGCAAGAGATTTGGCTAATGAAGAGAGGTATGGGTAATTGAAAATCATAACTTATGTTAACATTTTGCAATGTGTAAATCATAAAAAAGTTAATAGGCTTAAACATACAATAAAAAAAAAAAACTTATTTATATATAGAATATTGTAAGAAACTCCCATTTCAATAAAAAAATAAAAATAGTTTTTTTAAAAAGCAGTTTTCTCTAATTTCTTGTTTAAAGGAAAAATTATTTATTGTTTATGGTAAACTCTTTAAAAATAAAGCAGGCTTAGATAAAAAGAAAATTTAAATTATTTTTTAAAAATAAATCAATTATCGTCTTTACTTGAAACGAGTTATTTGATTTAATGATGTTTGAGTTAATGATGTTTAACTTTTGGGGCTTTTTAATTTGTTTTATGCTATTTTATGTAACCATTACAAAGTTGGTGGACACTCATCTGTTTAAAGATAAGAATCACAGTTTTTTTATTTTTATAAAAATGTTTTTAAAAATACATATAAAAAATATGTGCTCTGAAACAGTGTGGAAGTTTTTGTAAAAGTTGGTGTTTAAATTAAGTTGTACTGTAATATTTTCAACAATTTTAAAATTTGTTAAACTATTTGAGTTTTAATTTACCGACTTAGTAAGATGCAGTTAATAATAACACCACTGTTTACTTTGAGCAGAAGATGGATAAACTTTTTTTTATAAAAAATTGTGTATTGTTTATTATTGTTTTTTTTTTCTTTCTTTTTTTTTACATGTTTGACATTTTTATTTGACTAAATGTTAATCGGTTGTTATATTAATTCTTGAATGATGCATGAAAAATGCGCTCCTAGTTTTGCAATGTCACACGCAACTGAGCCACGCACAATAGCAAATTACTTATTGTATACTAATAGGGTAGACAAATCAACCAAAATTTAAAAAAATAAATTCATTGTTGTATATTTTATATTGTTGACGAATGCAAGTGGTGGTGTCTTATTCTTATATTTATAAATAACTATAGTTTATTAAAATGAGTATTTAGCCACAAAAGAAAAAAAGTGTAACCGCATTTTTAGTATTAATAATAATAACAAAAATAACAATAGCAACAAAAACAACAATATTAATAGTTACTAAATGATTTTATGATATTGTTGTATTATTATTACTTTTATTATTGTCCATACTGCGTTATTCAAAGTGCCATTGCGCTACTAATTTGGTTATTTGCCTCAATAAATTTATGTACATAATATTAATTGCTATTTAACTAGCCACGTTACGGTCGTGTACACAATATATTATTTGTGGTACACAGTTAGTTTGCCGCACTGGAGGCGTGTACGATTTATTATTATTGATTTAAAGTGTATAAATGTGTTAACGGATTATGAAAAATTCTCTCTTACTGTGTAATTATATAAACTTATATTAACGCCTAAAACTTTATATATATATATATATATATATATATATATATATATATATATATATATATATATATATATATATATATATATATATATATATATATATATATATATATATATATATATATATATATATATATATATTACTTTTTTATTGAGAAAACTAGATAGACGCAGACAGACAGTCTTGAACTGACAGACGGACAATTATTTCAAAAGAGAATTAAAACCTTGCTAAATGGCTTATTAATATTATTATACATGAAATAAACGTACTCAATAAAACATCATAAGGAGTTGTCCATAAATTACGTCACACAGTTTTTGACCGTTTTTGACCCCCTCGTTACAACATCGCTTCTCTTTAGTAACAAGTCCCGTACGATTTGTGACAAAACTAATACCTTTCTTTCCCTCCCTTTAGAGGGGAAACCCCTATTATTTTATTAGTTGATCCTAATTAGTGTAGATACCTGTATACACACATAGATATATATATATATATATATATATATATATATATATATATATATATATATATATATATATATATATATATATATATATATATTATATATATACAATTAACTATTTTATCCAATAGTTTAAAAGCTTTCAGTTTATATATAGGTGTATATATATATATATATATATATATATATATATATATATATATATATATATATATATATATATATATATATATATATATATATATATATATATATATAATTAAGTATTTTATCCGATAGTTTAAAAACTTTCAGTTTATAAAAATTTCAAAAAATATTTTTGATAAATTCATCTAAAAATAGAAACGATTATACTATTATGATTGGTTGATTAATCAATTAAGAGTTGTTTTATATCGAAACAATCGTGTTACATCAAAAACAGTTAAGCAAAAATAAAACTAATTACTCAGAAACCAATAAGATTAAATCAAAAACAAATTGTTGTTCATTAAAATCTAGTTGCATAGTAACAATTTTATAATAAACGTGTCACCTATGAGCTGGACGCCGACAACGAACTTGCAGAGAATATGAAAAATATCAGCTTTTCTAAATAAAAAATTTGTTGCTTGGGCCCTCCCATTTTATTTGTTTGTTTGAAGCAGAATTAATGAATCACTTAATCAAAATTTTAAGCTTCTAACTTTGGTATCAAACTTTTTGTTTCTAACCAGACTCAAAATAACTATTCAAACTTTCAAAACTTATATAAAACTTTCAAAACTTAAATAAAACTTAAGCTAAGGAAAGAGTTGGTTGTCTTAATAAGTAATTTTTTTAATGTTTTTTTAAAACCTTATTACGTATACTTAATAAACTAATCGATTTTTACAACAATGAAATTTACATAGTTTATGAAACTAGAATTTTTGTCAATTTTTGAAATAATTTTATTTAAATCTTTATTTATACAAAGCATTAAAGGTCCCTTGTTGCCATGTGCTGCTTGCCTCAATTGCTTGGCAGTGAAAGGGTTTTTAATCTTATTTAGACTATAAGATATTTCAACTATTAAAAAAGTATATATATTTGAAATTCAGATTTAAAAATATATAGCGATTGATTTTTATTTGTATGTGTCATAAAAATATAAAAATAAACAAAAATCGTTAAAAAAGTTAAACTAATATCAAAAAAAATTTTTTCGCCCATTTTCGACAAGGTAAGACAAAATCCAATTTTCTAATGAATTTGCATATTCTTTTGAAGCTGTCTCGCTACTAAAAGCAATACGATTCTAATAACGTCACTTAGGATTACAATCATTATACCCGGATACGGGTACATTCGGTTTCAATGATTGCGAAATTGCGAAAGAACTATTAGCTCTACAAAAACTTTCGCAAGGTTGTTTTGAAGAAAGTTTATTTAAAAAACAAAGTATTGGGGAGACGGGATATAAAAAGTTTTTTTTTTAGCTTATGTTTTCTCTGTAACTTTTTTACTTCTAAGTTAGGTTTCATTGCAGTAGATAAAGATTATTCTGAGGTACATAACACTGTCAATAACTCATGTTTATCAAAAAATAGAGATTAAGCAATTCATGCTATATGAAAGTTTTAACATCGCAATTTACAAAGACTATCTGTAATTACGCTAATTTAATCTAAATATAGAACACATTGCTTAATTTTACTTAAAACAATATTATACATAAAAAATCATAATAATAACGGAAATAATAAATATTGGTGATTAAAAATTTGAATTATTATTAGTATTAGTAGCTATAACAACAATAAATAAATTTTTAATTTCAATTCATTATCGCTAATATTATTAACACAATGAATACTAACTTTATCGAAAAAAATTTTATTTAATGAAAAATCGAGAGCTGTATATGTTAAAAGTTTGGTAAACCTGTTAATATACAGAAATACATCAAAAGTACCAAAATGCATCAATAAGTTTGCAAAAAACAAAATTTGCGTATTTTCTTAAGTGATACAACGACAAAAGATTTATATTATTGCTAGTTGTTTTAATTATTTCTGTTGCTAATTTGTTTTATTTATAAAAAGTTTACATTTTTCAGACACTCGGAGTAGTTAAGGCAATTTACAAAATATTCGAATACTTTTATTTGGAATTAGCATGGTTTTGTCAGCATATTATGTCCAAACAAGGTCTTTAAATGCTATAATTTTTTTTTGCTTAAGGTTTTTTTTAATATTTAAAGAAACTTTTCTTTTTTTATATAATTTTCAAAACCTTTTTACTACCCGTAAAAGTGCATCTAAAGAATAATTTTTTGGAGTCTTTAGATCAATTCCGCTCATCGGCATTAGTATGAATAGATCTTTTGAAAAAGTTCCATAAATTACTACTGATCCTAGTTCTAATCGGTTCTGACGTATATTATTTATATATTTTATTTATATATATATTTTGAGATGATTTTTAAAAAAAAAAAAAGAATCATCGATCTGGGTTTTTTTCGCTAGAAACATTTTATGATACCGCAAAATTTATCATTTTAAGTTTTTTCGTCTTTTCATAATTCACAGACCAGACCATTTAACGGGAAAATGTCGTAGTCAACAAAATATCATACAGACGCTATAATATTTTAAAAGTGCCTTAACTACACCGAGCAGTAGAGTAAAACTTGGTAAAATGAAATAAAGGGTTGAATTAAATAATTATGATAATATTTATTATTTTGCTCTTAATTAATTATGGGACTTTTTGCAAATATTTTTAAATCACGTTTTAGAGAATACTTGTCTGAGTAAGATGATATCGAATCTTATTCTTGATGAAAAAAAATTTCTCTAAAATTTTTAATATTTCGTATGCGTAATAAGATTTTTTATTATTATTATTTTGAAAAAAGAATGTAAAACTATCGCAAGTTAAATTTGATATTATTGAACTTTAAAAGTAGTTCTGGTATAACTTTTACACTGAACAAGAATATTTTTTCAAAATTAAATTTGCTATTTTTTATATTTATTAGGAAAAAAAGTTGGTAAAAAATAGTAAAAGTAACAATATTACTATTTTTTACAAAATAAATAGTAAAAGAATAAAAAACGGAAAAGGAGAATTGTGGGGTTGAATGAAATACGCTAATAATAAATGAAGATTGCTTCACT